CGTTCATGATTTTCACTCAATGTTCCATTCATGTTCAAAACACTGCATGTTCAGAAGAAATCATTAAAACTGTTAACTGTTAACATTTGAGGACTTTTTAAAAAAAACTTTATTGTGGAATCCCTTACGCGGCCCACCCTCACCCAGACTCTGCCTCCAGCGGCCCCCAGGTAAATTGAGTTTGAGACCCCTGGTTTAAAGCAACTGATGTTGGCCAATAACTGTCATTTACCAGTAGGTCATGTAGATTCTTATTTTCCTTTAAGTAAAACATTATGCCACAGTTTTTTTTATCCAATTATTTATTTAATTTGCACAAGAACAGATGCGTTTACATGTGAGCACCGACCACTACCACATCTCTATATCAAATATAAAGGGTTCAAAATGCTGAAGCTTTCATTTACACTCACAGAGCAGGATCATTCACTCTTATCCACATCAGTCAAATGTTAAGCGAAATGTTTTCTCCTGCTCCTTGCGTTGGCTGTCACACAGTTTGGAAACTTCATCCACTCGTCTGTGTAAGAGAACCGAGTTCTGATCGATCCACTGGAGAGAATCCATGTGAGCGTTGAGGATTTTACAGATTTGTTGTAGCTGGGAGGGAGGGAGAGAGAGAGAGAGAGAGAGAAGCACATTCTTATTTAACTAAAACAATGAATATGTATCCATGAAGACCAAGTGAACATGACCTCTTCTTCTTACCGGATCACTGGTGTCTGCCGGGCCACTGGACGTGTTGAGGTGCTCAATGATTTCCTTCAGATCCTGCGACATCCTCTTCAGCTGAGCATCAACGTTCTCCGCCAACTTGTACGTCCTCTCCCGCTCTTCGTCTGCGTTCTGCATGTAGATGGTTCCGCTCTGCTCCTTCACAGACTCCTCCAGAGGGCACAGTAAGTCCTCCAACTCCTTCTGTTGGGACAGGATGAAGTCTAGTTCCTGGTTCAGCCTCCTCTGGTCCAGCTTGACCTTTTCCATTTCTTTGTGCAGGGAGGTGATCTTCTCTCCGTTCTCCACCAACATGCGGTCCCAGGCATTCACCTGAGTCGCCTGCTGTAAGAAGTGCCTTTCTTGGTCCTCAAGCTCCAGACTCCACTTGTTGATAAGACCCTCCAGCTGAGCGTAGCTCATCACCGGAGGGGCAGTGCTTGTTGGGATTGTAGTAGCTAAACTGGTTATGGCTGTACTGGTGGTGGGTGCTGGTTTGACTCCCAGTGTAAAGCCTGTTGTCGCAGGTGCAGCTGTGACGGTGGAGGCGGGTGCACAGGTGGCGGTGGTGGCTGCTGCCCCTAGTGGTTTGAGCATGAAAGCCAAACCTCCAGCGGCTGCTGTAGTCGTCGCAGGAGCTGTACTTGCTGCTGCTGCTGATGTTGCGGCTGAACCTAATGTGATGCCTGTACCTGAGGCAGGAGCCACAGCTGAAGTGAAGGGAGAAGAAAAAAGAGTGGGAGCTGCAGCGGGTTGGGTAGCAGCAGTAGGAGCAGGTGTTGTTGAAGGTTTAATCCCAAAAGCAAAACCTGCACCCAGAGTAGGTGCTATAGATGCTGCAGTGGTGGTCAAACCTGCCTGGGGCTGGGTACCAAGGGTAAGGGTGGCTGGAGTGCTGGTCCCAAAGGTAAATCCTCCACCTCCCCCTGTGGGGGCAGCGGGTGCAGCTGTGGTCATCTGAACCTTTGTGCTACCAAAGCTAAATCCTCCACCAAAGGCAAGACCGCCTGATGCCCCTGCCGTTGTTGCCGCTGCTGCTGTGGCTGCTGCTGCTGCAGCTGTTGCCGCTGCTACTGGTGCTGATGCCGTAGCTGCAGGTGGAGCAGTCCCAAAAGTGAATCCTCCTCCTGCAGGAGCAGCAACCTGGATCTGTGAAGCTAAACCACCTCCTAGTGTGAACCCAGTCCCGGAGGCTGGAGTTGCTGTTGAACCCAATGTCAAACCTGGGGCTGGTGTAGTTTGAGGAGCCGCACCTAAACCAAATGTTGCGGCGGCGGTGGAGGAGGGGGTTCCAAAAGTAAATCCTCCTCCAGGTGCAGTTCCCTTTGCTGGGGTTCCGAAACTTAACCCACCGCCGGCAGTGTTGTTGGTCTGAGGGACCGCGGTGCCAAAAGTGAAGCCTCCTCCAGACGCTACTGGTGCGGAGTTTGTCAGGCCGAAGCCCGTACTGGCGGCTGTGGTTTTCTGACCCCCAAATGTGAAGTTTCCAGGGGCCTGACCGAAGTTAAACCCGCTACTCATTTTCGTTTACAGCAATTAAACGCAGAGCGAAACAAGAAACAAAATGGTCACCTTACCGCTGAGTCTCTGGAGCTTTAGGCGGTTACAACTGCCAACCACTTTGTCTAGTATACAGCCCTCGTAATATAAAAACACCTTTTGGCTGGACTTCACTTTTAAATAAAATCGAAATAACTCTCTATTAGCTTAACTATGACGTCTTAATTAAAAAACACAAGCACATCTTAAACAGAAAAACGTGGACCTCAAGCTTCAGGCACTGCGTAAGACGACTAACGGAAGTGACGATCCTAGAACCAACTGACACAGAACACTAAAAGGAACCGGACCCCAATATGATTGGTGAAACTCTGCAATCCGTTCCCAAAGAGAAACTGTTAACGAAAGAGGACATACTTTGAACCGGCGAGGCGCAAATATTGTCCTGTTCCTTTAATCATAAGTTTTGTTCGCTTTCAGTTTAATCTTACATTTGCTGACATACTCAACAGATAACAAAGATACCGCTTATAAAAAAAACCCAAAACACTACATATGTGGGCAGAGGGCAACAGCAAAAATCAAAACAAAAACACAAAAAAAACAAAACAAACAAAAAAAACAAAACAAAACCCAACCCCCCCAACTTTTTCTGCTTTAACTCATGCCAACTAGTAGTCCAAGTAAACCTTGGAGGACATGATTGACTTTAAACAGACCATGGAATTTTACATTAATTAATTTAGGTCACACCAATGTGCAATCTGTAGGATGTACAATTTATGAAGTTACACGTTGTGGTAGGTTATCTTTACAACTTACCCATCCAGTCTAACCACAAAATGACACATAGTAATCTTTAGTTATTGTTAAATCACAAATGTATTTAGATGATAACAGATTGGTTTAGATTAGGTCTATAAAATATAGGGAATTGTAAAAATATGATAATCTAATCAGGTGGAAAAGACCAACTTCTGAAGTAAAATCTGAAGAACAGCTCTTGTGAGCAAATGCAAACAATGTTACACGTCGGTATATTCATTGGACTGCCAAATGACTAAAATTGTCAAAAGACAAACAGATTGGATTTCAACACCTATTATCTACCTTTTTGACATTTGTTGCAAGAGGTTTACTACAAACGAAAACGGCGAGACAGTGAATCATCTTGACCTCATATCCCTCGACTCTCCGAGCTGGCTAACTGCTCCGCCGAGCCTCATGTAGTGCCCACTTTCTAATACAAATACTAGGCTAAACGTAAACTGAATGCAACATTTACAATTATCCGTGCATTAACCAATGGATAGAAAAATGTGCAGTTAAAATTTCTATAAGAGGCGTTCGGGACCTCACACGCTGCGGTAGCTAACTGAATATAGCCCGGGAGCTAATGTAAACACAGGGTTATTGTACAGTAACTGCGAGTTACCATTTGCCTCCATCATTGAACTATCAATAACAACAACAACAACCAACATGAGGATTTTCAGGTTCCTTAGGAGCAGCGTGTC